CTCTCGAATACTCGTCGAGCGTGCTGACCATTACACCACGAAAGCATGCTAAGAAGGCGGGAGAAATACCTTATAACACCCTCTTTTAAAGGGTGACTGGGGATTAGGAGACCCAATCGCCAAATCCTGGTGGCGGAGAATCATCATCCACCACCTTTCTTAGTTCAGGAGCCACTATAGAGTCATAAGGTAATTTTTCGAAAGCAGTAGAGATGAAAAATGAGCAATGCTCTTGCCCGGACTTGAACCACGGATCTCTCGAATACACGCCAAATGTTCTGACCACTACACCCCGAACGCATACAGAAAGGAGGGAGAAATACCTTATAGAATATTAAGAAGCAGAACATTCATTCGACCCACTTATAAATAGAACAAATCATAAAAGGCACTATTTTCTGCCTTACTCGGTAATTTAATAAGTCTAGGCAGTAAATATATTTTTTACAACTTCTGTTATTAAAACTAAATGAAATTGGACTAGATGGAAAACTAGATGAAAACTAGAATGAGTGTACTGTACTCCATTGTTTAATTATGATAACGTACTCAGGAGCCCTCTGCTTATGGGAAGGGATGCCTCTGGGAATGCCTTCATAAAAGATACTGGCTTATATTTACGTTAAACATGGAAAACCATGGAAACGTCATGCAAACAGGCCATTCAAACATCGGAACTGGAACTCCATAGAATGAAACTAGATTAATTATCTGTGCACTTTTGGAGCCATATATAAGGTGATTCATAAAAACACCATTTATACAACTTTGCAAAAACAAATGACCCCGAAAGAAGCTATGCTCTTAACAATTTATGGTACCTCAATTGCAGAGTGTCAACGGCAGATTATTAATCTTCATGGTGAGTACTGGAAACATTCTTTCCCGTTCTGAAGACACAGTTGAAAACGTTCTATGTTTCTGGCAATTTGTTGGAACACTATCCCTTCAGTACCGTTGATTTCGTTGATAATACTCTGCTTTTGTAAGAGGTTGGAGTTCTACGCTACGTAAACTAGAGCAATGGAGGATTCAAAGCAAAAACATTACCATTAAGTATTGATGAAAAGTGTTTCAACGAAAGACTAAATGGGAAGATGTATCCACGTGTGTCTTCATAAGAAGGTCGGGTGAAATCTTGTTGTTGTTGTTGTTGCTTATGCTCACTTGTCCGACGTAGTCAGTCCAAGTTCACGCAATTCCTCGTGGCAAGGAGCGCTATATTACGCCTGCAGTTGGCAACAGCCTTGAACACCATTCAAGTGAGAGAGCTCAGTTCCGCCCCCAATTTTGATAGAAAGCACCCCGGGGGGGACGGGTCCGAGGGTCTCCCACCCCTCTCCCCTTCCACCAGACCACACATTCGGCTCGCCGCATATTTAGAGTGCCGCCATGCCGCACCGACACTATACATTTACAAACACCCATGTCTTCTCCGGGATTCGAACCCCGGCTCTTCGGCACGGCAGTCAACCGCAGATAGACTGCCGCAGATAGACTCAACCGCAGATAGACTGCGGTTGAGATGGTATGTATTATTTTTAGATTTTTTTTCAGTTTAGATAAATGAATAACAACAAGAGATAAAAAAGGCCAATTTTATATGGGATATTACACCTAATATTTTTACACCTAAACATGAAAAAGCACGAAATGAATGAAAACAGTCCGTTCATATTGTCAAGTATCGAGTTGGCAAGCATTTTGTTAAATGAGATATTCACAAAAATTAGAAATATATTTTTAAAATATTTTTATTATGCAAGTTAACTGTCATTCATCAACTGATTGGTTCATCAACTATCGTTCTTCAACATCATGATAAGTGTACGAAAGTGGTGTTTTATACGTTTGCTTAAAGGGTAATAGAATATGTTGTGATAGTGAGAACAGTGAGAATTATTATGCGTTTATGTACACTAATGTTTCAGATGACTGGGAGGTGTTGTGTATTTTGCTAAGAGTGGGAATAAGTTCAGGGATAATAAATTTAAGGCCATTGATTGAATAAACACTGTGTTTGCTGTATATTTATCGTTTGATCTTTGTGTCTCTGTTTCGGTAAAACACCGAAATCTGGGGAATGTCGACTTTCATCGGTGAATGTCAACATTCACATAGTCGCTTGGTGTATGACCGAAATCACCATGTACTACTGGTGAATGTTGAACATATAAGAATATTATATTTTCTTCTCCGTAACTCAGTCGAGAAAAATCGCACTTGAGACTTAAAATAAGAACTTAAGAACGTAAGAACTTAATACACACAGTACATTCAAAATGAGAAAGGAAAATAATAGAAGTTAAAAACTTACTAAATTATGTGATTCAAATCTTATTTATTACAACAACTTAAACTGTTATGAAACTTTGAATTGCCCAAGAGACCCTTGCTTTTACAACTGCATTTATTTGTGGAACACCTCCTTTTGCAATGACAGCGTGTACATATACTCCTCTCTTTTCGACCTACACCAGAGCGTATCTGTGATTGTCGACATACACCGGTGAGGGTCCAAAGTACAAGAATGTAATGCAATATTCGATCTTTCACCAACGTGTTTGGTGAATGTTGACATTCTCCGGTGAAAGTCGACATTCTCCACGGTCTTTCACGATAACATGTCTTCTTAACAAACTTCACAATTTAGCTATCGCTCCTCTATTACCATTCTTCAACATTCTACTCCGAAATTAGAGTTGAAGAAAATTAAGCTATGTTTATTGAAATCTGATGGAGCAGTTTCCATCTCAAAAGCTAAATTTGAATTTAATTTTAGATAGTTCCCACTAGTTGAAGAAAACAGATTATACGCAAGATTTTATGCAAATACTTCAGCATCATTAGCCTATGTAAGTAAGCATTTTAATATCAGCAATATAACTACCTAGCAGTCTCTACTGTGGCACCGGAAACTGAAAATGTGGTTGATGGTTAACATATCCCCACCTAGATTTGCTTGACTGGCCTTTTACCTCATTCCAGTAGTCCTTTAAAGGAGAAAGAATGTAAGGATTTATAGCATTCTCTCGTGGGTGCATTTTTGGTGTGAAAGATCAGCGCTTACCAATAACAAAGTGGAAGATCAGTGGTTAAGTCTGGCAAGGGCCCAGTTGATTGTTTTTGCTTCCAGGTCCCTCATCCCCAAGAAAATTGCCTATGTGGTCTCTACAAAACAAGACAAAGTGTTTTGTGTTTTTTAAGGTGAACATTTGCACTACATTTAGAGAATAATGAACTTGAGCAGAAATATTAGACAGCTCGTAAACTAGTGGCATATAGCTAAATGCTTTGTATTTTCTAATACCTTTTAATCAAATATGATCGTAATTCATACATGGAAAACGAGCCAGATAATAAAGAAATATTTGTATCTGTATAATGCGACACTCACTCCCCTGCTATATAATGAGTTACGAATTTCATTACTTATGAAAGAAGTAGCAAACCGGGGCTCCTATATTATTACATTATACAAGATATTCTTTTAAAGTCTTATATAATATGTCACAGTTTATATATGTAAGATAAAAAATATGTAAATATAAATTATACATCAAATTAGCAGTATCTCTTAATGCTTAGTTTTAATTCGGCATTTCCCCTCTGTACTCTAAAAATAGTAAATCTTTTTCTGCATTCTGTCATTTCGAGACTAATTCATGTCATTTGACTTTTACATAAGGCTGGTGATGTAAACGAAACTAAAACTCAAGCAGCCAATAATAATTTTACAACAGTATTAATTACCCAATCAAACGCATTGACAAACGAAACTAACACATTCTGAATTAAGATTTCAACCTGAACACAACTTACTTACTTTCTGTACTTCAGCCTAGATAGACTTCTGCTTGCTGTTTCTTTTGTTACCGCAAAGCTATCAAAAATGTAAACATTTTGAAATAGGTAAGAATTAGAATGCCAAGCTGTTTGTGGCCGCAGCATGCATGTTTTTTTTTTTTTTTTTTTTTTTTTTTTAAATAAAAGTCAATATTTGATCTGCCTTCTGTGCCAAGTTCCTATTTATTATGGATGGACATCTTCAGTATCCATGCAGTCAAAATTCCTGCTGTTCATTACTTCTAAGTCTGCTTATTACGATGAAGTCTGCTTCATTACACATATATTTATATATATATATACAATGTTTTAATATATACATATATAATGCACGTGTGTATATAATGTTTTAATTTTGCATCTGTTGATTACCAAATATAGCTTTCTATAAAAACTCTTTTCCCGCATACTCTTCTCGTATATTTATAAATGCTTGTATCGATTTCTATAAATAATTCTACTTACGTAGAGCCTACTAATAGCCGAACAGTAAAACAGCTGAACGCCGGTAGTTCAACCCGGATTCAAATCACAGTAACTGAGCTGGATACATCAGAATTTTCGTAGTTTTGAATATAAGCCAGTTCTTCTTAAAAAGTCTTCCACGAAGGCATTCCTCCCTTTAAGCAGATAGACCACGAGGACATTACCACAATCCTAATCTACAAATACAGAATTATTTATCAAAATTTATCCATTTCTTGCTACGCTTGAAAACCCAATGGTCAATAAAATTGTAATTCAGCTTAATAATAATAATAATAATAATAATAATAATAATAATAATAATAATAATAATAATATGTGTTAATTTAAATTGAAACACTAACTTAAGATTCGTTTTGAAAATTTTGCTACTTTTAAGCTGCGCTCTCAGTTTAATTAAAAACCTGGATTATTGTAGATTTTTAACTTGATTTAAAATTAAATTACATTTAATATATAAAAGTTAAAAATATTTACTCTAAATTATGGGCATGATTTCAAAAATCAAGTTAAAATTATTATACAGAAAATAATTTTAAAATTTAATAAAATAATTTTCGTGCTATCTAATAAAACTACTTATAGGACAAACATTTACGCAATCTGTCCGTTATTTTATCTCTTTATCTTTAAAATAACAATTTTTATCTATATTTTATTAATTGCAGATTTATTAAAATCTCTCAACTGAAGAGGGGAACGTAACAGGATTAGATATTATGCTTCTAACGCACACTTCCGTCCAATATGAGCTGAGTTTCCATGAATAAACCCCCTTTTTTTTTCACAAATTATCTACTCGAAGTATTTACTTCTTCCTCATCAGATATCGAAAGTTGACGGTGTTCTGCTCAACATTCGTTTTCCAAAAGGCAAGTCTCCTTTGCCTTCTGATTGACGGCTCAAGTGGCCAATGAATGAAAGCGAGGTGGAAACGACTGTCTGCGTCCATGTGCAGCGAGGATGCCGATGGGGATTCAGTAATAACGAAGCGTAGCGATCGGAGTCGGCCCAGTAGCTACACTCCGCCCTCTACTTCGGCTTCAAAGAGAGTAAACAGACGAAACAAACACGTGGACTATTTAGATTTCTGCCAGTTGAGCATGGGTGAGTTTACAGTTTAATTATTTACGTACTTATAATTATTAATAATTTTGGGAACTATTTCATTTTGCCTTTGTTAACTGCGCTAAATTCAATATAGTTCCTTATTAAAACTCGAAGCAAACAGCTCAAACAAATAAACAAAAATTGAATTTTAATTCTGAAATTAACTTTGGGGCTTCCCCGAACAAGCATAAATAAAATCCTGAGTTTAAGTTTAAATTTATTTCGCTGCGGTTTATACTTGTTGCGTTCGTTTTTGTGTTTTTCAGTTCAATTTCTGTTTATACTTAATACTTCGATAGAAACTGTCACGAAAAATTATGAGGTTGTCCCAGAAAATTAATATAAATTATTTTTCCATTGTTTTTTCTTTCCGTCCGCAAATAAATTGGTCTGATAGTCTTGTTAACAGTTAAATTCCATACTCCAAATATCTTTAACAATTATTGTATTAAAATACTAATAATAACAATAAAGAAATATGTTCGTTTGATTAATGGCTTTCCTTATAGTAAAAATATAAACCGATTATAAATATTCTGAACAATAACTGCCTCGAAAAACTGACTCTATATACTGAATAGTCTAACGTGCTAGTAAGAAAATAAGTGACAATGGTTCATTCTCTAATTTATAGAATATATTTTGCTTCCAGCTGACTGGCTTTAGAGCACATTTATAGTTTCTATGTCAGTTTTATGCTGCAGATCTGTTTAAAGTGGGAATTACCCAAGCCTTTTGGTATTTTTATATATATTAAATATTTATGCTCCTACATACCGTATTTGCCGGCGTATAAGACGCACTTTTTCCCTTTGAAACGAGGTCTGAAAAACGGGGTGCGTCTTATACGCCGATACTGCGTCTTATACGTCGATACTTATTGCGTCGATATGTCGTTTGTGAATGTGTCAAAGCTTCATGGACTGCTGTAAAAACAGAGACAGCGGTTAAATCATTTAAGAAGTGTGGCATTAGTAATGCACTGGATAGTACAGAGGACAATTTGTTGTGTGAGGACACAGATGCTGATTTAGAAGAGGTTTCAACTGACTCTTCATTTAGCGCTGGAGATGAGTGTCTCGGTTTTGATGAAGGAGATCAAAAGGTGTTCTTTCCTAGATAGACTGCTTATTTGGAGAAAGTATTACTTTGAATTTGTATTACTTTGTATTTAAAATACTGTAAATTCATTATAATAATCAGTGATAATATTTTATCCTTCAGAAATGTGTAGAAAAAAGGTTGTGCGTCTTATACGCCGCCAAATACGGTAAATATTGAAGAGAAGTAATCACTAATACTGCTAATACAGTCGCAATAGCTTAGATGTCTAACAGTAATTTATCAATGTAATTTGAAAGAGAATGAGAATTAGCATAAGTCTCGAGTTCTTTTTTGCTAATTAACTATTTCCATGTTCAGCGATTTTTTTGGCTTCCTTTCTATTTAATTGCAATATCCATTTGCTTTTTTAAAATACCAAAGATCCTTTTCTATTATAAATGCACCTAAAGCTCCGACATAATCATAAATACATTTGAATTCGCTTTGCACTGCAGCTTCTACCAGCGTATAATTCATTTATGAACTTATAAATCTGCATTGGTATTAGCATTAAGTTATGCTTTTTTTAAATATAATACGGGATACAGTCTCATTAAACAACTTGACTTTGAGACTATAGCTTGTTATCGCTTTGACAAAAATTCGACAAGAAATTTATTTGTTACCTTCGTACAAAATTTTCTGAGTACACTCACAAATGTTGCTAATACAGCTTAAAAGGACTATTCTTAAGCTTTACTCCTTTTCCATTCTTTTAGAATTTCCTGCTCTACCTTTTCTTCGAAAGAATCTTTTCATGATTTTATTAAATCTAGACTCATATAATTTATTAGAGTAAGAACGTAGTGTTAAGTCTCAAGTTAAATTCTGGCCAGACTAAACTGTATGCCAGAACTAACTGAAGTTAGTTCTGGCATACAGTTTTAGTGGCTGTGAGATAATATAAACTTTCGTAATGCTTTTTTAGAATTTATTTTGTGATAATGCTTAGTATATTTCAATACTGCTTTCGGAACTTTCCTTTATTTAACTGAACTTCTTTCAAACTAATTTAACCATTAAACCTTCTGTCAGAAGAAGCATTGAGAGCAGTGTGAAATAATTTTTTCAATAATATCGAAAACTGACTGTATTTAAATTTTAACAGTTTTATAATGAAAGCAATAGTAGCTTCCCCTCTCTCTTACTCTCTCTACTTATACATAAATTCCAACTTTAGCTTCAGCTTTTTCTGTTCCATGCAAGTTGAAATAGTTTATATTTTCTAAGTCTGTATACTATTTACACTAAGTAATATACACATTGTGAAATAAATAATAAATTGTAAAACTTGATAAGTAAATAAAATGTAAAAATTACCTCCTATGCTTATACAATCATAGATTATCCAAACTGCTCCATATTGAGTGCAGTTTCATTTCGTTTGGAAAAGAGTCATATTTGCAGGTGTTTAACCTGAATGTGAAAACTTTTTTTTATCAATATATAACTGCAAATCAGTTTTAATGAAAAGTCCCTTTATCATTTGTAAAAATGAAAGTTTTTAAAATTGTTTTAACATTTTTACAGTGCCACTCTAAAAGTCTTCTCCGGGTATCAGTCCTCTGCAAAATTCCAGAAATCTTTTCATAAATATTTGTAAGTTATTTCTTTAAATAGGTAAAAAAAAGGCAGGATTTTCTTTCTTAAAGTACTCAAAGCACAATGCACAAAATAAATATGTTTTACATTACATTAAATAATTAATACTTAAGTGTTAATTTTTATTGTGAAATCTTTAAAGTTCTAAAGAATCATTTTAATTATTTGAAATTTACATCTTTAGATCAACATAGCAAAACTGAAATACTTCTCTAAAATACATAGAATCGAATTTTCAACGATCGCATAAAAATTACTAGTAAAAAAAGAAACAAAGGGAATATTTTATTCCTTTTTATTTCATTATTTTATATTCTTTTATAAAACTGGGTATTATGATTACAGTAAAAATCGCAGTCAATATAAAAAAATATAATTTCAACAGTAACTGAAGAAAGCACAAAAAAATGTTATTTCAAAATTATCACTACAAGAATAAATAAAAAAGGGATATTAAAAATTTTTTTCTGACTAGTTTTTCGAATTCCAGTGTAAAATTAAATATTTGCTGCGCATCTGAACTCGGTATCAAAATTTTAATCGCTAATGTTAATTCTAGATTTTAATTTTGTAAATTTTATTTCTGAAAAGTTGATTCCCTAACCGTAGTTGTTTCATGTACAAATAACAGTTTCCTTAATATTGAATTACTGCCCATTAAACTAAAAAAATGTTACTTTCTTGAATTGCAACCAATCTAATAGTTTATGAACTCTTCTAATCTAAATATCCTTATTTGGAATAGAGGAAATATTCAAATAAAGTCTTTGTGAATTTTATTATATTGGTGATATTAGTTTCAAGTAGCATAGTTTCAAGTTTTTGTTCTGTTAGCTGAAAAAACAGCATGCTTACCAGAATATTTCATAATGTTTACATCAAACATAAATAGGTTTCAAAATGGAACAATGGATTCAGATTTATCATTTATAAGTAATCAAGTTCCTTATTGGCAGTACATATTGTAATAAACAACACATATTTACAAACACCTGTCTGATACATTATTTACACTTAATTTGTAAAAATTCTTTCATTAAACAACTGCTAAGTCAAATATAGTATTTACCATTTTCCTTTGTTTTTTGTAATGAAAATATATTTAAGATTCTCTGATTATAGTAACACATATAATCATTTTATGAAAAGATTACTCCTAAATGCAAATAATTTATATTGCGATTTAAAGCCACAAACTAGAATTTTAAGAAAATACAAGAAGATGAATATTTTCTCTCTGTGGTCGAGATATCCTGAGTGAGTACAAACTTCTACAAAAGCTAAGTAGAATTACTGCGGAAGATATACATCATTGTAGTGCTGAAAAAAATCCCCATATATTTCAACAAATATAGTAAAATTGATTTTTTAATATATGCCATAAGTTTATACTAGGCGAAAGCTTAATATATAGCGTTAAAAGGAAAGGTTGCCCTTTTTGAATTATTCTTATTACTCTACAATCTTTGATTAGAGAAGAAATTTAAAATATTAATGAGCTATATAGAATTTTAAATTTTCAGCTATATCCCCATATTATAATTCTGACAGTAGTAATGATATTAATTTATTTTTAAAGAAAAATAATTTTTTTCACACAATTAGCTTACATATAAGAACATCAAACATGAACTAGATATATGCTTTAAATCAATGTCATCTGAGAGAAATATTGTGTTAGCTGCAAATGTGCATGGGCTATCTTAATTACATATTTAATTATTTTGTTTTTTGTTGCAAGCTTGTTCTGTTACAGCCATAAGATTATAATGAGAACCTGAGTCAACATAAAAAGCATAATTTCAACAACAGCTGTAGTCAGTACAGAAAGAACTATTTTAAAATTGTCACATTTAAAATAAATAAATTTAGGATGTCTTTCAAATTTTTTTTTCATTAATTCTTCTAACTGTAGTGTTAAATTTATACTTGCTACGCGTCTGAGTTTAGCGTGTAAATTTTGGTCACTAATGTTAAATCTGTATTTTAATTTTACAAACTTCGTTTCTGAGAAAACTGATTCTTTCAGACTCAGATTTTCGTGAGCTTTGAAAATAGTTTCTTTAACATTGAGATACAGTACAGTAAAATCATTTTCATTTAACAGTCATATTCACGCGTACAACTAACTATTTTTTTTTTCAAATGAATTTAGGGTTTGAATAGCAGTGCAAGTCTTTAAACTCATGCATGCTGAAAACTAAACAACTAGTTAAAGTTAACTTCATGTACAAGGAAGATCTTGGATTAATAATTCTTCTTTTTCAAATTCATGCAGGCGCAAATTAAAC